TGTGGATCTCTCCGCGCTGCAGTCTTGCCAACTGTCGCAACAAAATCACTGTTCGCGACGTAATTGTACACAACGAGGGACTAGATGAAACATTTATTTTTATTTTTCTACGGTCATTCATATTTTTCTCTTTAATAACTAGATTGAGGATATTTCTATACGTATACGTTGCGGTCTTGCCAACAGTCGCAACGAAATCACTATTTGCGACGTAATTACATAGAACGAGGAAACTAGATGAAACATTATTTTTAAAATTTTTTTTTAAATTTTTCCACGATAATTTATATTTTTCTATGACAGCCAGACTCTGTGGATCTCTCCGCGCTGCAGTCTTGCCAACTGTCGCAACAAAATCACTGTCCGCGACACAGTTGTGATGGTGAAGAATTAGGCGAGATATTCTTTGATTTAATTGCAATGATTTACAATTTACGTTCCTCCACAATTGGACTAATTAGAGCGAGTGCTTTTATGAAATTTCATGCTTTGCGAAAGTTATTTCAAGATCACGTTATTGCACGTTTTGTAAAATCATTTACAAAAGTGACGTAAATTACTGTGTCACGTTGCAGCGTAATAAATTGCATTATTATTTATGAAAGCAATTTACAGAATCATCGAACCGAACAATTTCGGGGAAGTACTGTATTATTTATTTGCACGAGGTCAGAAACAATGGAGGATATCAGTGAAAAAGCGCGCAAAGTGCGTACGCGTGCACTTGAATTTCGCCGTGAGGAGGAGAGAAATTTAAAAGGAGAAACTCTACAACAAAGCTCTGTGTGACGGCCAGGATCCGCGAAATGATCATATGTTGAATTTGACGTCTAATTAGCGAGAGTTATATTACTCGAATAACGTTTGCAGATGCGTTTTGTTCGATTAATCCCTGGCCTTTGACCGGAAGTGATCCAACGTTGTCAAAGGGGAAAATTGTCCGGGGAATTGAGGATACTCTGTCGCGGGAAATTTCATTTTTCAAAGAGAGAAATCCTCCGTCCCTGGTCCAGTGTCAACCAGTCGAATTGAAATATATTCGTGCAATCGCCAATCAGTCTTTGAAGCAACGTCTGCCACATGTTTCCCTTTTATCTTTCCAAATTCGACTTTGGGCCGACTCTGGCTGAAAAATTTCAATTTCGATGAAATTTCCAGACGTCTGGTTCTTTTTTTTTAATTCTTCTCGACTATATATTTGCATTCAGTAACGTTGAAAATTTGCCGAGTAATTTCGAAAGGGATCCAAGAGAAGGTACATTTCCCTCTAAATCTTTGGAATTTTGATTTTCTTTCAATTTTGTTTGACGCCCGCAAGAGAAACGAAAAATTAATCGATTCGAAAAATCCGTCGAATGTAAATTCGATTCGATCGCGGATACAATTTTCACCGATCTTTACCGATCTGTAATATCAGAGGACATTTCCCCTAGATATTAATTTCAACACATTTAAATTCCCCGAAGAATAAAAAAAAACCTTAAATATAATTGATAATAAATATATACACGAACTGCAATCGAGGAAAAAGCAAAGGAAGAAGAAGGGAAATCCATCGAATTGGTGGATGCATCCAGTGCTTTCAAGGTAATAAAACCTAAATAAATTGGCTGGAGGATGGTTAGGAGGGATGGGAGGGGGGTAGGGAACAGTGTGCAAGCAAGGGAACTTGATGGATGAAGACACCGAGCTGGGAGGAAATCCAATAACAACGTACCGTTTCCATGAGATTTCCGAGTAGAGTTCGCGTCAGCCTTATGCTTCCGCGTCATCGATCTGTTTTTTATCTCTTATCAGTGGCCGCATATGTTCCTAGAGTGATCAACGTATCGCTCTCCACTAATTCTACAACATTGCTGGCTCGCTCGATCATTCTCGTTCATTTTTATCTTCAGCGGCGAATTTTTCGGTCGAGCGAGCACTTCGAAGGATAGACAGCGAATGAGAAAGTTGGAAACAACGATGCGCGAAAGATATTCGAGAGATCGAGGAATTTTGAAGGTGTTGAAAGAGAGATCTAGGGAATTTCATTCAGTTGAGTTGAATCTAGAGAGTTGAATCTAGGAAGTTGAATTTAGAGAGTTGAATCTAAGGAGTTGAATCTAGGGAGTTGAATCTAGAGAGTTGAA